CTATTCCAAATGACATATTGGGAAATAGGAAGCCATTTAATTATATCTTTTCTCCCATGTTGACCCGGAAAGGATTTCAGTCTGCTAGTGATTCGAATATATTCTGACAGGTGCTCTGCTTTGTAATATTTATAAATGTCCCTACTTAAGGGTCCTGAGCACCAAAGCCCTCAGGCTCCATAGCATTTTTAGTCTTTATCCTTGGTTGGCCGCACTTAAGGGGTGAAAGGGTGGGAATTGGGAAAAATTATAAAAGGCACCGCTGGCCATTTCATGAAGAGTCTGACCTGACATATGGCATACTTTCTCAATTCCTGAATACAATGTGTGATCATGGCTATATTTGGAAGCTTTAAAAAGCTCAAAAGGAAAAACCACTGATACTACAGACATAATAGGATACAATTCCCGCAAATGATTACAGTTGTGCTTTAAGCAAGGAGTCCAACGTCTGTGCTTGTGATTGCGTTTACTTCCATTAGGGGACTCTTGTTTCAAAAAATTCATGTCTACCAATTTAGCTCTTCTTCATCTTTGTCTAAACATTGACTAAAAGAAACATTTTCAGTTAAGTAATTCTGCTCAGATGGAAGAACGAAATAGGACAGAACCTAACAGTGATGGTGAAAGGCTGATCACACAAAGGCTTGTGTTGAGTTGTCCACTATTCAGACCTGGAGTTTGCTGCAAATACTTTACCCTTGGGTGAATTCTGTGTGTGTTTTCCATAACTGTTTCAGAGAAAAGTTTTTAACTAATATTTGCTATAGTGTTGCAACTCATAACAGCTGTGGCAGGACCATCTGGATGGACTGTAACGGTTTATCCCTACATACATACATACATACATACATACTGGAGACAGAAGCTGTTCAGATCGGATTTAAACAATGTAATACATTGTAATTTTTAGCATTTTAATAATAAACTTCATACCATAGAAGATGTGAAATGTGTGACAGGCAGTGAGGAGGAAGAGAAAAGAGGAAGTTGAGGGGAAATAAAAGAAACATCTGGCTATCAGAGCATGATCAACACTTTTGTAGTTCTGTTATGTAATGTTACCCCTCAGAATTAGAATCAGGTTTATTTCTAAGTACATTTTCCAATACAACTTCTATAATGTATCATTTTCTATTATACTTCAATTACTGTATCCCTTTCTGTCCTTTACTTACATTAATTTTTTTGTATTTTTACTATTACAATTAAAACTATAATTATTTTTCTTGTTGTCTTAGTTGTAATATTGGTTTGTGTGTCTTATTATGTATGCATATATATGCATATCTGTATATATGCCCCTCCCCTCTCCCTTTTTCCTAGAGGTGTTCATGTTTAAGCCTCTTGATGAATATGAGACAGCTGCTAGTGAGAATTGCTTAACAATGCACTCTTGACACGAGTTGACCGCCTTTACTCTTGAAACATATTTGCTTCAGAGGCAATTTAATGGCTCATTGATGTGAGAACTAATTCTTTAGGTTACTCAAGCTAAATACTTCAGAACTCACAATAACATTTATGGAAAACAGGTAGCTGCCTAGCTTTCGATTTTAAACTCAATTCATTTCTTAATAAGAAAAAAAAAAATTAAGAAGCACAAAGCCTATAATGTTTCAAAGAAAAGACTTTTCATCACGTGCAATCATTTCTCACTGATGAAGCATTAAATTGGTAGGAAGGGACAGCACTGATTTAAACAATTTAACAAAATCTTTTCAAACTTACTGTGGTTAATTAGAGTGTAAGCAACATTGTTATTCATAAGAAAAACTAACCAGGTTATATAATGGTTGGTAAGTTTTTTTTTCTTTAATAACTTTTCTGCTTATTCATATTAATATTTATATAAATCCTCAGAAGTATGAAAGAGACTAAAACAGGATACAAATTGACCCACTGCGTGTGAGATAAAAGCCTGATCAAACCCACAGTCTGCATCTCAGTTTTAATATAAAAATCTCTCTTTTTCTCTTGGTGTCTCACACACACACACACACACTACAAAAATGCTCTTGTAGACAGACCATCTAAAAACGCCTTCAGTGCAACACAAAAATGATTCTGCTGATATACGGTATTCCACCATTAGCCATGATGGTAGTAGTATTCACCCTGTGGATCAAGGTTTAGCATTGAGTGAATAAAGTACAAATATGAAGTGCACCTCACACCAGGCATTAGTTAGCCAGCATCACACACTCACAGACAAAATCTCTGAAAATTTGCACTCATATGAAACACAGCTGACCACAATCAGAACAATAAAACACCAGTAGCTGTTTAGAAATGCAAAACGTCCCCCTAAAGTAAATAACTATTGAAATATAATTAAAAACATTGCTGAGCTGTGGTACAGTGGCAAGGTTGGGAAGCAAAAGTGAGAAAAAAGACTGTATTTTTTTTTTTTTTTGAAGAGTTGGCAACAGTGGCGTAGTCAAGACCGCCCAGAGCAAGACCAAATCATGACCAAGACCAGAGTGTGTAAGGGTGGCGATGGCGCAGTTGGTAAGGCACATGCCTTTAGTGTGTGTTCAATTTCCTCTGTGACACATCTAGGGACACATTATCCCTAAGCAAGACACTTAACCCCTAGTTGCTCCAGAGGCGTGTGAACTTTGACATATATAAGTCACTTTGGATAAAAGCATCAGCTAAATGAATAAATTTAATGTATCGAGGCTGAGACAAGACCAAGACCATGAGCAGTTGAGACCAAGTCAAGGCCATGACCAATGCCACCACACTACATGACACACGATAAAATGTGGAACATGATCATAAGCACTTCTGAAATTGACCTCAAAGTTCCACATTCCCATAAAAACACCAACATACACACACTAAGATCTGAAATCAACTTAACCATCTTTATTCAATACAATTTCTTTGTACAAACATTACGTTTTCTACATAACTCTTGTCTTCCATGTTTGATCCTTCATATTTGATCTGCAAATGTGTATTCAAAATCAAAATTAGCACTCAAAGTAATGTGCCATGTGCCTATGGCCATACAGAGCAACCGATTTAATATGTACATTTTTCCAAAAGTGGAGGCGCATTACTTGGTCTCAACTCTGTGTTGTCACATCTCTAGGCTAGCTTTCTCACCCAAATGAGGGAACGGTACCACAGTGCGTAGCTTTAATATTGGGAGCTATATGCAACTGACATTAGCTTAGGTTGATGTAACTAAACATTAACAACATAGCTTCATGAGGCCCATCTCGTCGTCAAAAAATGTAACGTAATTCAAGTTCTCACCACATGGCCTGTCCCCCGCAATCTCTCACAAAGACCGCATTAGCTACTTCCCTCAATATGTTACGTAAATTATTTAGCATGTGCACCTAGCAAGGTGGCAAATTGCTAGCATGCAACTGAAACTAGTGTCCTGAAACATATAATGTACTGAACACAGGTAATATGTACAGCACTTAATATTCACACACTCACTACTAGTTTTACATCCAATAAAAGTAAGGATGTTAACAAATAAATCAGACAATTCACAGGCAATGTTCCCCACAGTTGCATTCTTGACTGGTCTTGAAATAAAATCCTGAGTCCTATGTTTGAGACCGTGACAACACCACGCACTAATGTGGTTGATTCCAAGAAGAGACCAAGACCTTCAAAATAATGTGTCTCAAGACCAAGACCCATCTCGAGAACTACAACACTAATTAGCGCTGGGGAAACAGGTGTGCAGACCTACCAGGAGTCCAACAGGTGCAGGTGTTCTAACATATATCATCTATATGTGTTGCCCTTAAGACAAAACAAGAAAACTTCAACTGACTTCAGCTCTCCAGCTATTTGTTAGAATAATTTGTTTTGAATGTGTCTCAAACAAATGGTGTTGTTTGTGGAACAAAACCAACTCACGTGGTTCTTTAAATCAATTGTTGTTGCCGTAATTAAAGTTTTTACAGGCTTGATGTTAAAAGAAGATTACTGTATTATGACGAGTTGTTTTTAATCAAAAGTATCATAATAACGCCGACCCCATACATTTTGTACAAAAAATGACTTTTGTATTGACACACATAACTATTTTACTAAATATACAGCAGGAGGGAAGGTTCTATTGACCAAAAGCACAAACAAACAGCTTATGTGTTAATGGAATACACTTCCTGAAACTGTGTGTGGGTTTCAAATATTTTTGAAAAAGCATCTTCAGAAAAGAGACTTTTAATGAATACCAACTTTTAGCTTACGTTTTCTTTATTATATTTTTGATTGTTACAGTACTACTCATTTTCTGTACTACTATATTTTCTGTGTCTTATTGTGTTGTATCTAATGTTGTATTTAATATTTTATTGTATGCAGACTGTAGGATGGATATATAATTTGTTATGTAGGTGTAGGTAATGTCCAGTGTAGCTGTGTCTAAAATGCAATTCAATAAGTCAATAAGAAATAAATACCTTATAACAGCGGTTTACAACCTTGGGTCCAGGGTTTCCAAGGGGTCCCCAGAAATATGGGGAATATTTTAATATCACTTTTATTTCAATTCAAGTTAGCACAATGAGAGAATGACTATTCCGTTTATAGGTTTCACACTCTTCACTGTCAATGTACCAATCTACAATAAAGACAGTTATGGAATAGTTTTTATCAGACTACATCTTTTCAAATATGGTTCCGTGGCCTGATGTGTATGAATTTTGTGGTCCGTGACACCAAAAATGTTGAGAACCACAATGTTTTATCCTGAGACTCTGTCCAATCATCAGGGCTGTTGATGCTACTTATCTGCCTTCTGGCTCTAAAAACTAAAATTAAAGCACACAAAGTAGTGCCGTGGTCTTATTTTCAGCAAACATCACATGCTTCATGTCGCCCTTTGAGGTTGGGAAAATGTTGTCACAGGCTCTCCTGCTTTGAGAACTCCTTAAGTATTCATCAAAGTTTGAAAATGACACGATCTAAAGCAGGTAGGTCGTTTAGTTTAGCACAGTGTTATATATAGAAATACTCACTCGTATTCGCTGCACTTCCAAGAACACAGCTCTTTGGAAGGACTTCTCCCAGATAGCCAGGTCAGTGGCCAGCTCTACCCTGAAGGTATGGCTCTGGCCGTGGCCGACCAGAATACTGAAGCTCAGAGACTCATTGTCCTGCTGCTCAGGAGAATGCTCCAGCCCCAAGTAGAGCCTTGCCTGGAGCCAGCAGTCCTCTGCCATCCACAGCTGTAACACAAAATTCTAATTATTACATGCTGGGGAATGGGTTTTGCTGTCTCTTCACTTTTTTAATGATTAATTCAGTTGGTTGAATGAAGAGTACATTCCTTAATTCTCGGGTTAAATGAAAAACTTTCAGTGTGTACATTTCCTGGTTTGTGGATCAGGAGTATCACCTCAGGTCAAGAGAGTCCTATTTAGTAGGCTCCCTGAAACACCATACTATCTGCTAAAGCCGAGGGGAATAAAACAGCCACCTATAATATATATAAACTGCAGTGATCAAATGTGCAGCTCACCCTCCTCCTTAACATACCTTGTGGACCTTGAAAAGAACCTCATAGAGGTGATATGTTGTTTCAGCTTGTCCCCAATCAGCGGCACCGATCTGAGAAAAAAAAAAGGATCAAGGAACGTGAGATGAAAAGGGAGCATATCAAAACAACTTTTTTGCACTTGTTAGAAGCACCTCCCTATCCAAATGCAAAATATAAATGAAAGCTAGGTAGGTAGCTTAGTTCTGTGAATGCCTGGATGAATGCCAGTGTCAGTGGATTTATCCTGCTGCACTCTGCCACAGGTAGAAAATGTACATCAAGAAGGTAACACACATTAATCACAAACACTTGGGTATCCCAAAGGTATAACGTGTATATAAGTGTGTAGAAAGTGTAGAAATGTTTAGACACACAGTACTATTGAAGTAACACAATAACCAGGGCGTGCCCAGGAAAGTAGCTCAAGGAGAAAGGTAGTCATTGAAAGATCCCACATTACACGTGTTTTACTATAGACAGTGGTTGATGAAGTAATAATGGATAAAAACAACGTAATAAAGTGCTTTACATTATTGAACCATGATTTAAACATTCAGAACTGCAATGAGGCAAATAAAATCAGAAAACTAAAATATTACAAAATAAAGTGGAATAAAATACCCAACAATAATATACAATAAAAATAAATAAAAAAACGATGTGTTAGCATTAATAAAAATCTTTAAAAAATAGCTTTTTGAGAATTGATTTAAAAGATGCCACTGATTCTACAGTGTGTGGTTAACTCAGAATGTACCATCTTATAACAGTTTCCTAATCTAAACCAGCATCCTGCCATTCCCCCCACATCGTGTGGGGGAAGCAAAACTATTTCCCTGCCATTAAGTTTGAAACGTTGCATGTAAAATGAATTTGCATAAATTTTACAGCGTGACTATAGCTTACTGTGTAGAATCACAGCATTAAAGTTACCCTTTATAACCTCAGGTCTTGAGCAGGGTCGCAGACGTGGATCATAAACACGTCATTTCTGTGGCGTAAAGGAATTATTAGAGTGGTGCTTCAAATATCCCCAAGTTAAAATGAATGACCGTGCTAAAAGTTTGCAGCATGCTACACTGAGCAGTGAGCGCACTAACTGAGACCGACAAGAGGCTACTCAGACTTTGTTTTCCAGGGCGTGTTTCATTAAAGCACATGCACTAATGCTATCCTGGTGGATATAAAAGTCTGCTCTACCTTGGGGATATTGGCTACTGCCTTATTTCTATAAAAGCAGCTGGTGGCATTTCACAGCCCACCAGCTGCACAATGCTTTCTGTTCATGGAACCATCATTTTGACGACTCCACAATGCATCCATTATATTTAATGTAATCTGTCAAAATGACTTCTCTCACCAACACAACTGCATCAAGTAAAACACCACTTTATTGTATAACTGCCCTGCATGCTTGTTAAATGCAGTGGGGGTGGGGTTCCTCAACTTCAGAGACTTTAGTTTGTGCATCAGAAACAATCTTGCATTTCTGTGCCTGTGGCATGTTCAGCTTAAAGGAGACATCTGTGACATTTCCTGCAGCATTTAGACAACTTGTGTAACATATATGATTTATTAAGGCCATTCCCTTATGTTAAGAAGTAGTTTTGTAGAAATGTTGATGATGGTTTACAAAGAGCAATATTTATCAAAGCAGATTACTTACAGCTGTATTTTGAATAAGTTACCTTTTAAATCCAACAAGGACTTGCATACTTTTGTACACAACATTGATAACTCCCTAAAGAAAATACAGGCTTCACCCACAATGCCGCTGAAAAATCTTCAATAGCGATAGTTTTATCTATGTTGTGGTGATGCCCCTTGCAGAAGGAAAGGCAGCCCCACCTCCACACAAACCTGTTTGATGGTATCAACAAGCTCAGTTTGAGAGTCTCGGCTTACACAAGGCCAGACTCTTGCCCCTGCCATGGAAACAAACGGCTGGAGAGACCATCTCTAATCTGACCCACAGCATCGATGTAGAGCGAATTCCAATATGTGCCGTATAGGGCAGCCGTGTAATATGCGACACAGAGGAACTTATCTGTGAGCCAGTGCTGGGGACTCAAGCAAACTGGAGAATACAGAACAGAAGATGCAATGCATTGGTCCACAACAGGCACATAATCCACATACACCTACACTCCGCATGGATAGATAGAGTTGCATAAAGCATTCACATTATCCTGGCAAGATGAAGCGCTAGATTTAGGCAGATTCTCCGGAGGAAATGGACTGCCGCTGGCCAACTGTCTTAGCTCAACGTCATAGAACTCGTGAGCGAAAAGCAGACCCATCTTAAAAGGAATAGTTTGACATTTTGGGAAATACACTTATTTGCTTTCTGGCAGAGAGTGAAATAAGCAGCTCGACACCACTCTCATGTTACAAATTATATCTTGTTTGCTCCATCTGTAAAAAACACAAAGTGTAAAAACTAGTGTTGTAGTTCTTCGAGACCGGACTTGGTCTCCGTTTATATGTTACCGTTTATAAAACTTCACAAAGATTGAAAGGACATGCTTGTCACTTAGACAAGGCCCCAAACACACAGGCCGAAGTCTGTTCTTAATGTGCAGCTTTGGTGATTGAAAACTTGTTGTAGCCTCTCACACAAAAGTCTGCTTGAGAACCTTCAAAATGGAGAAGGTGAGCCACAATAGCTTGTCAAATAATGTTAAAGGGTGACGAAAGCTCTTCAATAGGAGGCAGGACAGGCCAACAGAGACTGAACAGCCCATAATGTGCACACCCTACCTTGGCACTGCATATCACAGCGTCCAGAGAGTAAATGTGATTAACCTGCCGAATCATTTGCCAAATGAAGTAAGACGATGAAAGAGATGCACATTTTGGACCACTGTGGTTTCTATACTAATGGGAGAACTGAGCTTGTGTCATATAGCAAACAACCACAACACAAAGGCTACCCTCCTTTGTTCACCAGCCCTGGCAGCCAGGCATAAACATTTTATGCTGACCCTGGACCTGCATTATCATCTAATGGCCAATTCTGATTTCTCTCAGACCACATGTAAATAGGAGAAGTTTAGTTTCAGTGTATATTTTATCTGTTCTCAATTCTAACCCTGTTTATTACATAATAGATTTAATTCTGGTGTCTCAGATGTCATGACAGTAGGTGTCACTGAATACTTTTTGTCCAAAACAGGTCAAAATGTGAAGATACTGTCATTATTGGATATGTATTGCCTATCATTGGCTATAGTCTTAAAATATAAGTACTGGCACAAGTTTGGAAAAACTCATTAAAAAAAAAACACATTAAATGTATCTCACAAAAGTGAATACATCCATTACATTTTTGTAAATATTTGATTATACCTTTCATGTGACAACACTGAAGAAATTACACTTTGCTGAAATGTAAAGTAGTGAGTGTACAGCTTGTATAACTGTAAATTTGCTGTCCCCTCAAAATAACACACAGCCATTAAGGTCTATACTGCTGGCAAGAAAAGTGAGTACACTCCTAAGTGAAAATGTCTAAATTGGGCCCAATTAACCATTTTCCCTCCCAGGTGTCATGTGACTTGTTAGTGTTACAAGGTCTCAGGTGTGAATGGGGAGCAGGTGTGTTAAATTTGGTGTTATCGCTCTCACACTCCCTCATACTGGTCACTGGAAGTTCAACATGGCCCCTCATGACAAAGAACTCTGAGGATCTGAAAAAAGAATTGAAGCTCTACATTTGGCCTAGGCTTTAAGAAGATTGCCAAAACCATGAAACTGAGCTGTAGCACAGTGGCGAAGACCATACAGCGGTTCAACAGGACAGGTTCCACTCAGAGCAGGCCTCGCCATGGTCCACCAAAGAAGTTCACGAAGAGTGCACGTGCTCAGTGTCATATCCAGAGGTTAATAGACGTATGAGTGCTGCCAGCATTGCTGCAGAGGTTGAAGAGCTGTCAGTTCTCAGACTATACGCTGCACACTGCATCAAAAAAAAAAAATCAAAAAGGAAGTCTCTTCTAAAGATGATGCATAAGATAGCCCGCAAACACTTTGCTGAAGACAAGCAGAGTAAAGACATGGATTAGTGGAACCATGTCCTGTGGTCTGATGAGACCAAGATAAACATATTTGGTTCAGATGGTGTCAAGCGTGTGTAGCGGCAACCAGGTGAGGAGTACAAAGACAAGTGTGTCTTGCCTACAGTCAAGCATGGTGGTGGGACTGTCATGGTCTGGAGCTACATGGAGGAGTGGAAGGGGACTCCAGTGGCAACCTGTGATGCTTAAGGTTAAGGCTGTGCAGGAAAATAATGGTGGCCACACTAAATATTGACACTATGGGCCCAATTTGGACATTTTCCCTTAGGGGTGTACTCACTTTTGTTGCCAGTGGTTTAGACATTAATGGCTGTGTGATGTGTTATATCGAGAGCACAGCAAATTTACACCGTTATACAAGCTGTACACTCACTACTTTACATTGCAGCAAAGTGTCATTTCTTCAGTGTTGTCACATGAAAAGATATCAAATATTTGCTAAAATGTGAGGGGTGTACTCACTTTTGTGAGATACTGTATACATGGGTTGTGACCATTTTATTGAGGCTATATAATCCTTGAGGGCATTAATTACAATGACTGTGGGTACTTTAATGATGAGCTGATCTTGCACCTACTATACTGTTTTTTTTCCATTGTCACAGAGGGAGCACTGTTTTGAATGTCCACAGGGACACAATTCATACGCAACCTCAATTCATACGCAACGAGTGATTGGCTGAAACTATCAGCAAGATCATGCTACATTAAGACCGTTTTTAGCAATATTTTCTAGCACTGTATGGTGGAGCGGCAATAGTAACGTTGGGCTGGTAAATGTAATTTAACAGAAGACAGAATCAACTAATTTTACTGATTAATACACCTTCAAGCAGATTAAGGTGAAATCAGCAAGAATAGAGTTTGACTAGAATAAAATCTGTAAACTCAAGGTCGAAAAGGTGCACAATTGGACGTGTACTAGGGGCCTTGAATACTTCATCCTCAGACATGGCATAAATCAAGTCTTGAAACATCTTTAAAGATCTACTTAACATCTTATTGTAAAAAATGAAAATAACCATGTATAACCCTTCATTGCCACATAACAGTCAGCCATGATCACAACAAATATAAATTCATCACCAGTTACTGCATGTCTGTCTTCTCGTATTCAATTATAACTGAAGCATACAGTATTTCACAGATGCTGCCAACTTGTTTCAAAAACAAACCATGCAGCACAGTGGGGGATAATCACAGATCAGTGAGCAGCAGCATAAAATCATCACACTTATGTACAAAAACACGTTCAAAAAAAGGACCTGAACAAATCATGATGCTGAGCTGAATCCACGGTACTAATATGAGTTTAAGTTACGAGGGCAAATGTGATATGCTTTAGATTTTGGACAATACCATTTCAAATCATCTTAAAATTAAGACCTAATATTTCTTTGAAAAGGCTTTATAGAGATCTGAATGAGAAATGAAGTTTTATCAGATCTGAAAATGATGAAAGACTAATTACCGGGGGACTTCTGAAGATATGAAAATATGGTCCTCTCAATGCCAGGTACTTGAATGCTGAAGTCCTAACAGCAGTGCTGCCCTCTGGGCTTTCACATGCCCAGCCCATGTGAATGATCTGCAGAGATGAAGACGATGACATTTACATATAATGTTTCTATTTGATAAAAAAAAGTTAACAACATGCACAATAGAAATCTTGCTCAATCAGCATACCAGAATATGTATATGTACAAAGTCAAAGGGATCAAGTTATAGAACTACAGTGAGGCATCTGCCATGTGATACATTTAAAAGATAGCCCATCTCAAATCACCAATATACATTTTGAGGTTTTACTTAAACTAATAACAACACTATTAAGCCCATTTGACTGAAAACTTGTCCCAAAATTTTTCTGAACTCTTTATTGGCCTATGCATTAATCCAGAGCTGCAGTTGTATGCAGATGATGCAGTTTTTCCTTATAAACATCTGGAGGGACAAATGGAACAACACCTCTGAAGCCGTCAATGTTCATAATACAGTTAAGGAAGGAAGTAACCACACACAGCAAACTTGAATGGTCCAAACATCTAACTAACACCTCAGGCCAGAAAGGAGGAGAGGCAGAAAGTGGCCACTAAAATGAACATCAAGATTACCCACAGTCTACAAATCATAGCTTTGCAGTGTCATGGAGTATAATCAGAGGGGGAAAGTAACGAATTACAATTACTCACGTTACTGTAATTGAGTAGCTTTCTTGTGTACTTGGACTTTTTGAAGTAGTAGTTTTTTAAATCTGTAATTTTACTCTTAAGTATGTTTTAAGTATTGTACTTCGCTGCATTTTCAATCACATCCGTCCTGAGTAAAGAAAAAGTGAAAGGAAAAACTCGTGACAACTTTGGCTTCAGAGAGAACAACAGCTTTATCATCATGCAGTGTAAGCTGTGAAAAATGTTGTATTAAGTTACTGCTAATGCTAACTGAACATTTCCTGCCACTGCAGCTTCACATTAAAAGCCTTTAACTGGCGAAACTCAAGTTGACTTTTATTTTGAAGTAGTCACAGGATTTGCAATCTGTTTGTAAGTGAGCTCAGCGCTGACCGCTACAATGCGGCTACACAACAAGACAACCATCAATTTCAACAGTTTCTTAGACAGCGGACCAGTTTGAAATATGACAAAGTGGTTAAAAAAAAGTTTTCATAGTTTGGTAAGATACAAAAAGCAAGTTGGCATAAACAACTTGCTGGTAACGCTTATGACATCCCATTAAAATGACCACCTGTTTGAATGTAAATAAGGATCTGACTTCATAGACAGTCTAGTCTCATAGTCTAATCTGTACCGCCACAGTTTCCTAATAAAGCAAAAACATTCTCAAACTTCTCATTATAACATTAAAAGTCATTGTTTTTCTTGTGTTTTCTTGTATTTGTCAAACTAACTAAAATTAAAAGCGCCATATGGTTTTGTTCCCTTTTAAAATCGCTAAAGACTGGACTTTAATTAAATAAGTATGTATATAAATAAGATATTAAATCAATATAAATAAGTTATTTAAGGAGGTAACTTTTACTTTGAGTAAATTTTAAATGAGCTACTTTTAACTTTTACTTGAGTAAATTTTTGTACTGGTAATTTTACTTGTACTTAAGTAAAAGTTCATCAAAGTAATCATACTTTCTATTTAAGCAGAATATTTTTGTACTCTTTCCACCTAGTATAATATACTGAACTAGATCTACACCTATATACCAACAATTTTGAGAAGAAGATCCAGGAAAGTACTGGGAGTTAACCTGTTCTGACGAGCCTTTGTCAGCGTTACCGACAGTTGTTAGATTGCTGCTCTTACAGTCAAGATGCACAATCAGTTGTCCTAATGGTGAAGCAGCATTGCATTTAACCACAGTGTTTTCGGTTTGATTATGGCCCATCTCCCAGCGTTTGCTGTTTGTGTCTCTACTTGCACTATCCAAGAAAGGTATACTTTTAACAGTCAGCAGTGCTGTGTGACAGCTTTGCCTGTGGCAGTATGTATGTTATGTACTGTACAGTATGTATGTGGTTTCAAAAAGAAAAAGAAAGGACTGGTTTGTTGAGTTAAGTCCGTGTCCGCATACCTGATCATCTGAAGAGCAGTATTTGTTGACAATCTTTATCTATGAGAGAAACAAAAATAAAACAATAATCAGTGACAAAGCTATAAATTATATTAATAAGGTATCCTGACCCCTTAAACACATGGGAATGAAATTGTTACACATTACACATTCCATTAAACCCTATTTTATACATCTTTGCTGTTCTTTGATGAAAGCTAACAGTTTTCAATTTTCTGTAAGATATTCATACATTGATGTATACCCAATGAGTTTAGCTCTGTTCACCACTTGAGTTCTACAAGGCATCTAATATTTTTTTCTAGATGTGAAATGTTGTGCCGTAACAAGGTTAACATTTTCCCAGTTTACATCTTCAGAAAGCTCAAACAACACTTTAAAGATAATGGGTAATATTAATTCAACTGCCAAATTAAAGTAAATCAACTCTACCTCAAAATAAGTGACGCACAAATAATGACTAAATGCACACAGTATAAAATAGTATGTTTATAAATGTTTATGCATATTCACTGTTATTTCTTCATTTGAATGTTTACAGTCAACAGAAAGACAAAAACACAGGATGTCACAGGATGTCACACAGAGAAAGCTATCTATGAAGCAGCAACCACCTGTGTTGAGGCTATTTCAAAGTGCTTTAAGATGCCGAGCCTCGAAAAAATAAAGGGAACACTTACACAACACAATGTAACTCCAAGTCAATCACACTCCTGTGAAATCAAACTGTCCACTTAGGAAGCAACACTGATTGACAATCAATTTCACATGCTGTTGTGCAAATTGAATAGACAACAGGTGGAAATTATAGGCAATTAGCAAGACACCCCCAATAAAGGAGTGGTTCTGCAGGTGGTGACCACAGACCACTTCTCAATTCCTATGCTTCCTGGCTGATGTTTTGGTCACTTTTGAATGCTGGCGGTGCTTTCACTCTAGTGGTAGCATGAGATGGAGTCTACAACCCACACCAGTGGCTCAGGTAGTGCAGCTCATCCAGGATGGCACATCAATGCGAGCTGTGGCAAGAAGGTTTGCTGTGTCTGTCAGCGTAGTGTCCAGAACATGGAGGCGCTACCAGGAGACAGGCCAGTACATGAGGAGACGTGGAGGAGGCCGTAGGAGGGAAACAACCCAGCTGCAGGACCGCTACCTCCGCCTTTGTGCAAGGAGGAGCAGGAGGAGCACTGCCAGAGCCCTGCAAAATGACCTGCAGCAGGCTACAAATGTGCATGTGTCTGCTCAAATGGTCAGAAACAGACTCCATGAGGGTAGTATGAGGGCCCGACGTCCACAGGTGGGGGTTGTGCTTACAGCCCAACACCGTGCAGGACGTTTGGCATTTGCCAGAGAACACCAAGATTGGCAAATTCGCCACTAGCGCCCTGTGCTCTTCACAGATGAAAGCTGGTTCACACTGAGCACATGTGACAGACGTGACAGAGTCTGGAGACGCCGTGGAGAACGTTCTACTGCCTGCAACATCCTCCAGCATGACCGGTTTGGCGGTGGGTCAGTAATGGTGTGGGGTGGCATTTCTTTGGGGGGCAGCACAGCCCTCCATGTGCTCGCCAGAGGTAGCCTGACTGCCATTAGGTACCGAGATGAGATCCTCAGACCCCTTGTGAGACCATATGCTGGTGCGGTTGGCCCTGGGTTCCTCCTAATGCAAGACAATGCTAGACCTCATGTGGTTGGAGTGTGTCAGCAGTTCCTGCAAGAGGAAGGCATTGATGCTATGGACTGGCCCTCCCGTTCCCCAGACCTGAATCCAATGGAGCACATCTGGGACATCATGTCTCGCTCCATCCACCAACGCCACGTTGCACCACAGACTGTCCAGGAGTTGGCGGATGCTTTAGTCTGGGAGGAGATCCCTCAGGAGACCATCCGCCACCTCATCAGGAGCATGCCCAGGCGTTGTAGGGAGGTCATACAGGCACGTGGAGGCCACACACACTACTGAGCCTCATTTTGACTTGTTTTAAGGACATTACATCAAAGTTGGATCGGCCTGTAGTGTGGTTTTCCACTTTGATTTTGAGTGTGACTCCAGATTCACACCTCCATGGGTTGATAAATTTGATTTCCATTGATAATTTTTGTGTGATTTTGTTGTCAGCAGAGTATTTAATGAGATTATTTCATTCATTCAGATCTAGGATGTGTTATTTTAGTGTTCCCTTTATTTTTTTGAGTAGTAAACAAATGTTTTAATGTATATCTTGGAGGTGATTTGAAAAAAATGCTGTTTCATCATAAAATATAGAGATATAGATATATCTATATATAACCAACCATGAAAACCATTTTCACATTGAATGGACCCCTGGTGTGTCAGCACATCACACTCAACATGATGGCTGCTCCTGTCTCGCCTCTCCTCAGCTACAAACTGAAGGTAAATTGTGACCTGGAATCTGTATATTATTAGGCACTAACAAGCGGCCCAATTTATTGTTTTAGTCTCTCTAAAAGAACATCAAACAGCATCAAGTGATCCTCCACCATGCCAGATGACAGTCATCCACATTAAAAACACATGAGGGACCCCGAGGGTGACACAGAGTCTATTTAAAGGTTGTAGGTCATTAAAACAAAAGTTCCGCTCTCTCCCAAAGCGGGCACACAATTACGTCCTGATTGGCCATTTAGCAATCACACTCCACGTCTGTAATTAGGTGATGCAGACATGAATTAATCACACTAAAAAAAAAAAAGGCTGCTGTGCAATCGACAAGCACGGGCATACAGTACATCTGCATCCTTAGCAAAAATGCATCACATCAGTGATAATCAAAGTGAAATAGGAGGAAATGAGAGAGAGAAGTGCACATGCAGAATGACTACTTAGCAGTCATTAATTAGGTATGAGAGAGCTTCTTTTTGTCAGCAGAGGGGGAGAGGTGCCACCGTGACTCAATGAGTGCTTGTCAGGAAGGGTCTATTAAACCATGCTACACTGTAGACTATGTGGCTGTGAAAAATCAAATGAGGAAAATACATGTAACAACTGTGGCCAAAACATATTTATTACATTTTTCAATGCTTCTTTATTAAGATGGTGTTATCAACTTTAAAAGACCACAAGTGGATAATATGATCAAATTCACACATCCATCCACATACCAGAATCTCTAAATACATAAAAAAAAGCTGACAAAAGTCAACTAATGTACACAATTTCATGCTAGAAATGATAGTTAAATTATCCTCTTGTTAAGGTCTCATAAGAGTTCAATCAAATTCTCACATATTTACAATGATCACAAATATGTGAAAATCACAGTTTTTCTTTCCACCCTTCATTTTTAATCAAGACCCAGGGGAAGATCCAACCAAGCTTCTAATGTTTAGAGATGGACTTACATTCTCCTGTGTCAAGTCATTGATATTTGTAGATATTGCTTGGAGCCAGTCTGTGCTTTCTGCTGCAGTGCAAAATTGAAGAATATTGGTGCTGGCTCCATTCAAGGTGAAGACTTCAAAACAGTTGGACCTGGAGGAACGAAGGGGTCAAAATTAGACATGATATGTGCAGCAGATTGAAAGAAATATTGCACAAAGTGAAGCTGGAGCTGTTATTTACTTCTGCCAAGTTACTCTGAGCAGCAAGACTTGTACTGCATTACGTATAGTAGAACTTCTTTCATGAGCTTGATGGGCTTGTGACACCTAATTATAAACATATCTTCACAACAGATGCTCTGGAGAAGCATTTCCTGAGTCTGTACGTATCCTGAGCCAGTCATATTTGTGTGGTAATAGTTCTCTAATCACATCCTTTCTGTGTTAAGGTTCCAACTGAGGATTGGAATTAAAATTACCCTAAGAGATAAAAAGCAGAGCTCTGCTAATGGCTCAAATTAAAAAGGAAACATGGACACAAGCTTTCTGTGTTTAATGGTGTGGGAGGGCACATGAATATAAACTTGTAGCTAAAGTCAAAAGCTTAAAAAGCAATAACATTTTGGGAACCTTCTCATCTAACTGGAGAGTTAGATGAGAAGGTTGATAAGACTCATGTCTGTACGACACATTTAGATATGAGATTTAGATATTCATATGTTGAAAAAACTAAGTGTAAAAAGCAATTTAACAAAGGTTATGTGCCAGCAGATTTGGCTGGGAGCAGTAACTTCCTGCAATCTCAGCTGGTGGCCAGGCAGCTGCTCCAGATCAAGAAACGGTGGCACATTGAGGTGCAGTTAGGCAGTTTTTGTTACCTTTAGACAGACCCAGTTTCCCCTCGTTTTCCACTAAGCAAAGCTCATCAGCTGCTGTCTGTAGCTTCATAGTTAATGGGCAGATATGAGAGTGGTATCAATCTTCTCATTTAACTCTTGACAAGAAAGGGAAAAGCATATTTCCCGATATCCTCCCAATGTCAAACTATTCCTTATTTAGAGCAAAGCTCATTATAATGCATTTCAGGAAGTGCCACAAAAAATTAAGCAGTGTTTAAATATCCTTTTTTTCATATTTTGATTTACACAGTATATATAAGAGATGAGGCGTTTACAGCACAAAGTCATGCTGTATTTGGCATCATTTCGGTACATTTTTAAGATTCTGTCATCTCCTTGAAGTGCCTTGAGGTTAAGTGCAGTGCTTTAGTAACACAATTAAATTTCTCAGTAGATGGGTGTTGATGAGGTCATCTAAGAGAGATCACACTCATCAGCAAAATGTGATAATTTTTGACATTTCATTTCGGTGCATTTTCACACTGCTGACACTTTTAGCCTCAGAGATAGTTGTCACTAAACATGGAAGCAGTTTTATGTGATGGTTAAGCCACCCCACTCGTCCGAGTGGAGAATTTACGACATTAGGGAACATCTCTAAAGGCTACAAGAAATGTTGAACGTTAGGTAGTGCACATGTGAGGCGGGGAGATGTTGTGGAGGTACGTGAGCTGAAGGCTGAAAAACACAGAAACAATAGAAGGCATCAAATGCACAGTATGAAGAGGGAAATCTTAGAAGACCACTCCTAAAACCAAACAGTTCTCCCTCATTCACACACACACACACACACACAGCAGTTCCTCAAGGTTAGATGTTCCAAAGTCAGCATTCCTAACAAATCCTCTGGTGAGCATGACTTTCTTACTGTATCGGCAATAGGCTTGTTAAAATCTTATGTTCCGCTGCCTGTGTACTGACCCAGTGGCTCTCCAAGGGTGATTTTCACTAGACTTAAATGTTGTTTTTTTTGTTTAACAAGGGTGCAAATTCTTTCTGTGTCTGTGTGCCCCACCCAAATTAGTTTTACACTGTGATTTGTACAAGTGTAAAGCATCACTAATAGATGTAGAATTCTTATTTTAAATGCTATGTCTTGGAAACCAGCATTGCCAAAATCGCTACTTCTCATTCAGCGAGTACTGCAAAGATAAAGTGAGCAACTGACGAAATGAGATTAGACACATAATCTACACTATATCAGTTAGGTCCCTTTGAATTAATGGCAAACCTCTGAGAACATGCAGTGATGAGAGAAATGTGCAATGAATGAAGGGCTCCAAAGGCAGAGATTAATCAAAACTAAATTAAATAAACAGCTGGCAAATCAATGTCAGGACAATACAACCCTGTCAGAGAGAGTAGGACTGAAAATCTCAGTGAGAGGTAGCATCTAGGGAGAGTGCAATTCTTTTATACATCTGCACCATTCCCAACAGCGCAAATTATTGTGCCTCGCCTGCTGACTAGGTAGTAATAAATCCATTGAGCCAGACCAGAGACATATCACCCAGTCAACATGCAGGATAATACATGGCGAATATATGGAAAGAAACCAACCAGTAACACATAGTGAGTTAGGCAAAGGCCTACTAATTTGCAAATATTCTTCCCTTTCAAATATCCGTTTTAACAGCTAAAACAAAAGACTGAGAATACCTTGCTGACAGACCGGGGCTCCAGTCTGACACCTCAGTCTTGCCAGCAAAATCTGTGCAAAGGAAGGAAACAAGGCAGGCTCACTGCGTTTTCACTGTCAGATATCTAAGTGGCCATGTTTCTCCTTATTTTTTTTAAAAAATGGTGCGGATTTAAAGTAGGTAATCAAAAGAGAAACTTTTAGAAAAACTATTTGTCATCCAAACTGGGAGCATATGTACCAGCATATGAACACTGCCTTCCAGACACAGTAACAGCACGGTCTTCGGTGCACATAAACATTAGATGGGATCGCAAGAGTGAAAAGCACCTTCCCATCAACACATTGTAGCTTCTCATTTTTTAGCCTCGACCTAGGAGTTATAATAGTGACCATAACGGACATGCTTCAATAAGGAATGATTTGTGACATGGGAGCAAATAAAAAATAAATATAAAAACATTTTAAAGCGGTGAGTAGGCTTACTGTCATTTTTTAAAAGCACAACACATACAAAGCTTTAGTGCTTCAGACAGTCTCAGTTGTAGGATGATATATGACGGTATATAAAAGCATGTCCACATCACTTACGGTATAAAAGCAGCCTATAATACAGTCTTAGGATCTTCTACATATGGTGATGTCATTTTCCAATCAGTAAGCGGTGTTTTTAAAACGCTGATTTCTTATCTCAAACATAACCTGTTCCAGAGCAGGTTAGCTGGCATAGGTTACCATAGCGATGTACCCTGATCAGAAGTGAACTATCGTTGTAGGAGTGAAAACCCAGGGATAAACCTGAAGTTACCTCCCTAACATCAAAACCTGTGTCATAGTATAGAGACTAAAAATATGAGAATGCAATGGATAATAACGTGAAGCTCCAAACCTGCTCTGCCTAATGTGAGATAACAAAACAATTGGTTCTTATTGGTTTCCATGGTTCACCCTTAGCTTAAACTGAAACAAAACAACTTATATTAAAAAAATGGTTGTGCACATTTTAAAATGAGGTGCGATTAATAGATGTTTAAGAATGAGAACCATTATTTTTTTAATTTACTGTTTTTATAAACCAAAATGACAGACAAATAAAATGCAAAAGATCCACTTAATCTAAATTTCTGCTATTAATTAAAATACTAAGTAAGTGTTAAAGCTATACAAAATTAGGTCTGAGATTAAAAGATATGAAGGAGCACCCTTGTGCCAAGAGATCTATTGTTTGTTTGTACAGCAGCACCCTGTTGCACCAGCTGTGTATAAATTCAAACTTAGACTAGTTTTAATGTAAATTAATACTACGTTGTGATTTATGCATTGCTAAAATAAAAGCAGTTGCACCATGAAGATAAATTACAACATAACTCTAAGTAACAACCAAATAGTTAAACATGCCCCAGGGTAAGTGTAAATCAAAAACGTCACAGAATTATACTCACTAATGGTGAAACATCCGTTTCCTGACCCACAGCGTCATTTTTCATTATTTGCAAGTCATTTTGCAACATAGAAATCTAATAGAAACCTAATTAATAAGCCGACTAGTGTCGACTTTACACAGTAATTTAGGAGAGAATTTGCACACACCTGGTGCAACCCAGTGCTGACGTTTATTTCCACACTGTGCTATGAATGATTGACGGTGATTTTCGCCTGATCTGCAATTGGCAGAGATTGAAAAAATGGTATGGCTAACAAACAGGCACTTTTTGTTTCATAACAGTACTGGATTAACTAGAACAACAGAAAGGATTATCATAAATGATCTAACCAAACAAACAGTAAGTCGACCATGTTCCTTTGAGATCATCTTGTCAAAGATTCTCAGTTTTTTTCTCCTCCTGTTATCCACACTGATCTGAATTTGTGCATTCTGATATACCCATGTCAGCCAAGTCTTGTAGAGTAATCTCTGATACTGAGGCGCTCCCTGCCTCCAGGGCTCCTTATTGACTGAAATATTCACGATTTAGCACTTGGTTATTTGGATTAGTGTTAATAAGCTTCAAATCTCATCAATACATTGCACTCTGCAGTCATTCAACTGTTGATTGGACTTTACATCTGACAGAATTAGTATTACAGGATTGTTGCTTTATGCAAATAAAGCCTGGAGGTATCTGAGCACTCCTCAGACATGATGTGGACTGTGCTACAGAGAATAACTGGTGTTTTAATGCTACAGTGTACATTTGTACAAAATGTATATTTACCTGATGGATAATTTTTTTTACTTCATATATTAAAATCATTTTACAATCTGTAAGATTGTTATGAATCTCTATGCCATAGTATTGCAGTTTGAGAGTTTGTGATCACTTAATATTTGTTTTATTGCAATTTTATACATTTATAGCATTTTGCAACTGTAATACTGGGTTTTTGCTCATTTGTTTAGACTACTCAGTGTTTCTTTCATTTTTATTATGTTCAAGTCTCATTATTTAGGACAAAAAACACATAGTATTGTTTTAGTAAATTTATTCTCAGCTGCACTGACTCAAAGGTCCATCAATAAATCCCTTTAAAATATAATTTTTAATGTACCTATATGGTTCCATTGGATGTTTGTAATAACCATGTTGGCCTGTATATACATCATCATGAATGGGTGAATGATGTATGAATAAAGATGCTGTTGACTGTTGATATAATTATTATTAGTCATTACTACCATTATCAATGATCCAGCAATAGGTTGGAGCTCTTTCCTGTGTTCACCATGTATTCTAATGACTAACATAGTACTGTAATTTTAGCAGTAATGTGTTGATGAACTATAGCTGTTGTGCTGTAACTGACTACAACTTTTAACCTCTATGGACAGGAGGACATTCTCCAATTGAGAATGGTATTTTTCCCTTATCATTGGCAGCTGCCTAGAGCTTAAATAACCAATGAGGCGTCCAATAAACAAGTTTAATAAACATTTTTTATTAACACGGCAGCGCAGGGTTCCATTATGTATTTATCATTATGTACCGGCAATTCTTGAATCATGCAACTGGGCACACACACAGAGTAAGAGACTTCTGCTTGGCAAGAGTGCAAGAAATGATAAGGAAAACTGACTAAAGTCCACAATTTCCAGTTTCAATAAAAAATAATTACAAAAGATTAAATTACATAGTTCATTAAGCTCCCTGTTTGCACAAAACAGTCATTCAGAGGTACTCAGACCATATGCACAAGCACTTAAAAACATGTTACCAAACTTTAGTACATTTTAAACTGGCCCGGGTTTTCTGGAAAGTTAGCGGAGTAAAAAATATGATAAAACTTGATAATTGTGTCAGGGTGTCAACAATCTCTTCTTGTCAGACTTTGATAATGACAATTATGTAATTAATGTCTGTTATTAGTGTCCTACACACAATGGAGTGCGCTCCTGTTTATGATACCTCAAATTTTAACACATTTAACAATCATAATCCTGAAATATTACTGAGTGGTGAAAAAATTTAATGTGATTATGCCTTGTATTTCAGCATACTATAAGGGATGTGCAAGTTATAAATGTTAGTATCACTTTCTGTAATTTCTGTAAAACAACACATCTCAGGTGTGGTTTTCTTTTGTCCCACACATTGGAAATACAAATTGCTGATTGAAAAAGCTTCTAAAGTAAAACAACTGTGAAACTACTGTACACAGGAAAATCAATCCAAAAAGGACAGGCATAATAATCAAATGCATTTACAAGTTCGACCAGTGTTCTCACAGTCACTCCTTTTGATCCCAAGCTTCGCAGCTGCGGTGACCTTTTAAGCCGTTTATGCCTGTGCATAGATATTGGCATTAACATCCCCCCGAATAAATGAAAAGTGCTTGTTAAGCCACAACTGTGCTCAGTGACCTGTGCACCTTAGAGGTGAATTATATCATGCTGGATTACCCTTACCTTAATTTATCTGTGCCAGCTTTGTATCTGGAGACTCTGGCCATCAACAAGGGCAGGGAGACAGCATCCAGCCAGCGCTTCTCATACTTTGGTTCGTTAGCTGAGGGCGAAGGGGGTGATGGAGCCTGTGTGGAATACATGAACACTGCGATGAGCATTCTGCTCCACTCGCCAAGGCCTTTTGATCATTAAGGATGTGGTCTTGATGAAGTTGCACCATTTGCATGAACAAGGAATTCCTTTCTTATCCCAGGTTAGTCAGCTGTATAGTATGTAAACATCAAAATTAGGTACTTTGACACAGAATTCCTTTAAGGATAACACCTTACCTTTAACCATTACTGCCAAATTAGTCCTGACCTGCTACTGTATAAACTCACTGTCTGTCACTTTGGCGTTTGTAATCAAGTCCATTGTTAGTTAATGGAGCAGACAGCAGAGAAGTGGCAGGTAGACTGTTTTCTACTCACTGTTTTGGGTTATTTACTTCAGATCTGAGTCAGCTCTGCACGTTTTTGTTGTAGATATTTTAAATGTTCAATGTTCCCTTCACCTCTTTCTCACTTCAGTAAGTTTCAGTGAAGAAACTGAACTTTGGCTACTTTAAAGAAGTGAAATCATACGTCAAATTCCTTTTTGTGCCAAAACAATTACTTGATTGATCAATTAGTTTGTTGGCATGAATTGCAAACAGTAATTGTTTAAGTCATCCATTAAGCAACAATTCCAAACATTTTTGCTCTACCACCTTGCGATATAAGACACTCACTCTACACACTTTGGGTTTGCTGCTCTAAGTGCAATAACTGTATTTTAAGCTGCACAGGCACATCCACAAGTATACATAGTATTCCCCCACTTCACAAACACACACAAGTGGGTCCAGAGAAAATAGACCCAAAGTGGATAAAAACAGACAGATAGAAAATGCCTCTTGACATTCATTAATGACAGAATGAAAATAGTTTTGACGCAACCTCAACAGCAAGTGATTTGGTGTTATGAAGTCATGTTAGGGAAAAATATACTTGCTGTTTAAATTGATGGATTACTTTCATCTCTGCAGCAGTTTGTCTCTGTGAGCTCTTTTTAATGGATTGTTGAAAATAGTGAGCCCGCAGTATGAGCTTCTGTGGCAAATACACAGGTGCATTTAGGCTTTTCACAGACAGTAATGAGTATCAGGAAAAGCTAAAATTGCAGCTTAAAGATGCCTGCCTTATAGCAATAAAAAGGTGTTAATGTGGCATGGAAACAGCTTTGTTTTGAAATCTGTGCACTGGGTTATGGTACTTCCTGATGGCGGCAATACACATGACTGCAAGCAGGACTTCAAATTACTTTAGAATACACTTTACAACAATTCACTGTCACTATAATGGTCAACAATTCTTTCCCCATATTAGCACTCTAGAATGGGAAGGAGTGGAAAAACTGTCTAATAGGCCACTCTGTGCTTGTAAACACTGCCACTCTTTTGTGCTAAAGTTCTCTTTTTGAAAATGGCTTAAAGGCTTTATATAACATAAAATCATGGGTGCTGTCTAACAGTGAGGACATCCTTTCCAAGTAATACAAAGGCAAGGCAAATGTACTTGTACATCACCTTTCAAAAACAAGGCAAGTGCTTCCAATTTTTTTTTGAAATTCTATTACAATGTCTCTTCCACAGGGTATGAAGGACTTGTCATGTGTTGAACTGGACTGCAGAAACTGGTAGCCTAATAAAACATTCCAAAGTTCATTCCAAAGAAGGGGAGCCTGATGAGTAACGGCTATACCCCTGAAAGACTTTATGTTAAATCTACAGTTAAATAACCAGCATCAAGAGAACATAAAGGACATAATGGAGAAGCAAGATTGGAGATATTGAATGGAGCCAGTCCATTCAAAGCCTTGTAAGTCAGAAAATCAGCCCCCACTCACCATAGCAATAATAATGTATGTTGTTTTGTTATGTTTGAAGATGTTACAGAATGGCAGAATATATACACAGAACAAAATGGCAATTAACCTACATTTTAATCACCGTCTCCACGATTAGCTAATTGCGTTCTTTCAAATCGCAATTTCAATTTTAAAACGATTTATCGTATAAGCCCTGGTCCACAGTGCAACATGCAGGACATCAGGAGATCAGAATGGCACTGCAATTTCGGCAGAGGGTTTGGATCTGAGAGTGTTCGACTAGATAGACAGACTGTGAGTTGGCTAGCAACCACCTTTTCTAACAGTTTGGACATGAAAGCTAGATTTGAAATTGTTCTATAATTGACAGATGTAACGTTTGTGATGAAGCTGAGAAGACAGCCTCCCAGCAGACTGAAGAGTTCTTTTGTGAGGCTGCCTAGAATGGAGTTTAGAGTATATGTGGTCGGATTAGTACTTAAGCAATGACTATTACTACAATTCTGTATTGCTATTGGTATCAAAGTCAGAAGTGTGGTTTCAAGGGACAAAATACCAGATTGTGACATGTTTTAGATGCCTTTAAAATGGTTAAAAATGCAAAGGTTTAATACATCTCCCTCTGAGACTGATGGCAGTGCATCAAAAAGTATTCATTCTAAAAAGATCCTGAAGCACAATATGTTGACAAAAGCTTTGATAGCTGAAAGAGCGGCACATTTAAATGCAAATCACGGCGCACTTAATGAAGAACAGATGCATTACACATTATCTAATGAGTTACAAGCTTGGGGATCAAATGAGTGAAGCTTTAGTAACATCAAACAGTGAATCATTCCTGCAGCTAAAGATTATCTGTCAGCACAAAATCCCAAAACTCCTCCAAACAACGGCAACGGCTGACGTAGCCCCTGTCTCATTATACACACAGTACAGGTAGGTGTGTGTTCATCACAAAAGAACCAAATCACCTGCCTTCCCCTGAGTTCAAAATGGCTGAACATATTTCCAGAGTATTAAAATAGCCTCTGGGTAGAATGTTGTAGAGTGAAGAGCAGAGAAAAACTGCTACCTTTGCAAACTGAGTCACATCATCGCAGAGCTACAACATGTCGCATGCAGACCCATGTCAGCTCCTCACCAGTAATTACTACATTTCTGATGAAATTATCATCCTTTGCTCCATTTACGTCAACCCAGATCAAAATGTTTTAGTTAATTCTTATGTGTAGCTCTGCAGGGAGGTGGTGGGGTGGCAGGAAATAGAAAACTATCAGGCCGTCAGAGTGGATTACACTGACAAAGCATATGCCTCTACTGAGGAGCTAGCAAACAGTGACTAAAGCCACAGTGTTGTTCTTCACAACAGTCAAACACTCCTTAATGGACACGGATACTTCAGAGGTGATGCGAACAAAGCATAATTATTTGATAACAAGTAAATGAATCAAAGAGATAAATGGTCCGGGGTGAATCTTTGTCAGTCATTTCAAAGTCAAGAGAGCCTACTGCAAAAAGAGCTTAGCGAATTCTAATCACCTACAGAGGAGGAGATGCTTTAGCTGTGGGAAAACTCAAGCAAAACCATGATTGTACTTTTGTGTCAACTATAACATTCACTCATACTGCGACAACAACAAAGACACATTGTGGTCAGTGAAATACATTTACAGTGGACATCTGAAGTGAGCATCTTACAGCAGTGCTTTGGTGTACATGATAACATTAGTATGCTAACATGTAAATGTAAATTCACTAATGTAACTTGGTCGCATCTGCAGCTAACAAAGTAATGCCAGATAGCAATGTTAGATGTCATTAGAATGTCATTGCTTTTAAAATCGGGTCTCATTTTCACTCTCATTGGTGCCCATACCAGCTATCAGCTTATATTACAACCAAGTACGCTGAGAATTTGGGTGAAAACAACAACAATATTTACAAGCATAGCAGAAATAATTTATGCTCAAACTTACTCAGCTGTACTATTAAACGTCACCCTATCAATGTTTATACTTTTATATTAATCTAAGGAGTGCAAATGGGTGCTTGTCTATCAAAAGAACGAAGAAGAAGAATAAAAAAGATGTTATCAGGGCAATTTGACTTCAAGTCCTTTGGAGAAACAGAAAGTTTCAAAACTGTTTTAAAGTTATCCTTTTAGTTATAAAGAAAATTTGTGTGTGTTCCTTTTTAGGATTCATGTTAACATCTGCAATTATAAATAAGCTATTAAATAAGCTGTGCACTGACACCCCCTTTGAGACTGATGGGAGCCTATTAATGAAGTGAAATTAATTTCACAATATTGTATTGTAGTTGCTTTAAACAATACATTATGTGTTTTCATAGGGATAACAGAGTCCACCTCAAGCCACCACACTTTATGGTTCCCGACAGCTTGCACGAAATGGTACATCATGGGCATGACTAAGTCCCATCCTGTCTCCTTTTTACAAGTACTGGCTTCACTCAGGAAGTACTTCGGAGAAAGTACATGTCTGGCAGTGTGTCAAAATTCGCTCTATGGCAATACCTTAAGTTTTTAAATGAGACTGTATTACACTGCAAGTTGTTGTTTAGCCCACAAGCGCATACTATACATGTTTCAAAATTTTGTCCAATAGAAAAACAGCAATTACATATTAGACAGATGTTACTTTCTGTCCACTCAGTGAGTCACTCCAATCAACCACTGTCTCCCTCTCTCTGTCAAGGTTGGATTTCCAAGGTCTTCCCCCAGCACAAATCATGTATCATCAGCTTCAGGTTGGAATGCTAGGCAGACAGCAGACTTTTCAACAAAGACAGTAATGAAAGACGACATGTTTTGTGAGCTTGTAATAATATGGATTTAATACATAGACTGTATATAAAAAGATTTAATACCACCCTTCTGCCCCATTAAGATAAATTATAAGACAATTATATTTGGTTTGGTTTAATGTGGTCTCATAATTCATAATGTTTTAAGCACCTGAATGATGACCTGTGTGTCGATCATTAAAGAATTGAACAGTGATCTCTGTTTTTTTTGTTTTTAATAGGGACCTAACTATCTTTGTCTTTAAACCAAAGCAACAAAAAAAATGAAAATATGTATAATCAAGATGAATGTGATAGATTTACAAGAAACTAATAATCACAAAGTTAAAAAACTTAAAAACTAATGCTATTGTGTTAAGAATAACGTAATTTCAGCTGTAACTGCAGTGGA